GCAAAGATTAGTCTAGGATGAAATGTTCTTTGTGACCTGGTTTGATCCTCTGCTTCACTGTAAATGAGCTATTCTGCATGGATCATCACCAGAATGCATATTATGTGTAATGTGTACACTGTACATTCTGCTTTGGATTGAATCTATATTGCTATAATTGACAAAAATATAAGTAGTCTTGCACAAATATTTGTATCTCTATCTGAGATTCAAGTAACACGGTCAGGAAAAAGATATAGGCTGTACTGAGACACCTCAGAAAGCAACAATGAAACTTGCAGTTGGGCACAAACCGGCCTTGTTATGTTTGCATGTTCCTCGTACTCCTTCCATCTCTCTCCTCCATTTCCCATGCAGTGGAAAAGAGCAAGAGTCTAGGGGCACTTTAAAGATTAACAAAGTTTGTGGCAGAGTATGCGCTTTTGTGAGGCCGATTTCCCACAAGCCGCTGCTCCGCGCTCGCTCTTCCCTTTGCCCCGATCCTACGTGTCAATTTCACACTATGTGCTGCGCGGTGGCATTTTGCCCTGCAGCTTCGCCCGATTTTCCCGTGTCTACTCAATCCTCAAAAAACAGGCTTGAGTAGACATGGAGGAAATTGGGCAAAGCTGCGGGGCAAAATGCCGCCACGCAGCACATAGTGTGAATTTGACATTTAGGATCGGGTCAAAGGGAAGAGCGAGCGCAGAGCAGCGGCTTGTGGGAAATCGGTTTGAGTCATCCAGCCATACTGACAATGTCCAGCGTCTAATGTCTATAGATGACAGCTTCTCCAAATGCTGGGTCTCCTCACTCTCCATGAAAAATTGGATATTTCACAAGCACAATAAGATTTTTATTTACTTTTCAAATGGTTGGATGTCTCACACTTTTCCATCTCAGCTATTTTTTTAAAAAAAAAAAACAATTTTCCTTCTTAAAGGCAAAGATATATTCACTCTGCTCAAGCTTCAACCATAGTTTTTACTGGCTCTTGTTTGTTGGTACAGGGGGGAAAATCCTTCATAAAATATGGTGTTTGCATCCTAAGCATGAAATCCTAAGCATGACTTGATAACGGTATGATTTTTCACCTTTGACCTGCTTTCCTGCTTGCCTTTTGTACAATTTTTATAGCGTCATAGGAAATCACAGACTTCAGGGAATAATTTATTTTTATGAGGTTCCATGAGTTCTGTGCAAGGGAGAGGAGCAGGATGGTCAGAGGAACCTCTAATCATATCCATGCCCAAGTAGAATATAGTTTTAGAACAGTTTTAAACTAAAGGAAATAAACATTGATGTGGGCTTCAGTGAGAGCCAGTGTGTTCTGACGAACACTGTTGGATTTTGTATAAACATCATGTGCTGATTTATATTCATGTGAGTTTGCATGAGGTTGTATTTTTAGGAAACATGGGGCTACAGAAGATTTTGCTGTCTTTCATCCTTATACAGTACTTTATAATAGAAGGCACAGAAATAAAGTGTGCAAGAGAGCTTAAATCTTGAATATCTGAGGACAATCCATCTTCTGTAATTGAGTCACGGGATGTGTACTCGGGTATATTTTTGATTACTCTAGCTCAAACTTCTAGGACTCTGTTTATCTTAAAGCAGAATATCAGATTAGTCATTGTACATTTCCAGTGTGTTTGTTCAAATATTTAGTAACAGGTATTAGTTTGGTGTCAGTAGAGTGAATAAGCATGCAAATGAATTAACAGTTGATATCTAAAAATGTACATGTTTGGAAAAGTTATGCCATCCTAGATACTAGATTCTTCTTATGCTGTTTAAAATTCAGTCATATATTACATGTGCACCTTACAAGTTTTTTGTAACTTTATCAGATGCTTATTTCCTGACTTCAAATAAGACTGAAATGGATTTGTTTCATTGGGGACTGAATTTAGTTTAAGGAATGTTTCCATTATTTCTGTAGCACTTAGCAATTCATCTCAAGTCTTAAAACCCATGCCAAGATTAAATGAGTGGCCAACATTACCTTTGACTACACTAATAATTTCCCATTCTTTTGGGGATGTTATCAGTCTGGTCATCCAAGAATCTGGGAAGGAAGGAGGGAAAGCAGGTTCTTAGTAAAGTATCCCAGCAGAATGTCACCTGTGGTATTTAACATGAGGCACAGTTATGGAGAGCTATATTTGGAAACAGCCATCCATGTGCATATCTGCTCTAGAAAGGAAACAGTACTTCCTGTCTTCTGACATCATGAAACCGCATGATGTGTACTTCACTATATTTACAATATTTATACTCTACCCTCCTGTAGTGTTCAAGGTAGCTTACATCAAGTTAAAATATGCAATAAACCTGAAGAAGTTCATTGATAATAAACCTAGTGTAGAATTTTCACACAAAAAACCCAGAGAGACATCATAGGGCAGGCATCCCCAGCATGTCGCCCATGGGTGCCACAGCATCCACTGGCACCTGCCAAATGTTTTTAAAAGTGGGCAAGGCCAGGTGAGGCTTTTGCTGAGCAAGACTTCTGATTGGCCATAGGAGATATGATTGTGCGGATTTCTAAAAACATAATTTGGCACCAACTGCTACCACAACACAAGTATCTTCACTGTGTGACTGAAGGAAAGCTGCAAGAGCTATTTGGTGGCTGGCTCTGTCTCCTGTGGCAGCCTTTTGGGGCTGTGCCCACCATACTGTGTCTGAATTCCAAAAGTGCCCGCAGGCTCAAAAAGGTTGGGGACCCTTGTCATAGGACATCAGGGTCATATCAGCCTGAGTTAAATCATAACCTCCATCAGAAACCAAATTAAAATAAGCAAGACAAGAGAAACTCATCTGAAAGCAGACTGAAACAGAAAGAGATGGTTTGCTGAGTGGGAAACAGCCTGAAGGATGATTTGCAGAAAGGGTTATACTTCTGTTTATTCCTTCTACCACTCCTTTGCTTTCGATCACCCCTCCCCAAAATTACTTACAAAACATTCAATAGTGGGGTTCTAATTTATCATTTGCATAAAACACATAGCCTGTGAGTTCCAACTTCAAAAGCAGAAGTTTTGACGGAAGTGTCATGCCACACTGATCAGTCAGTGGCTATATTCAGTCTATTATGGTGAGAGGGTTAAAAACAGCTACTGTAACTTGAGCTGACCATGATGCTGCATATATCTGTTGGTTGCTAAGATGAGTATATCCTAAAAAATAATGTTGACTATGGCATGCATATGTCTGTGCACAGAAATATTGTATAAGCATCTTTGTGAATTTCCACTTGGTTAGACAAACTGTCTTCAACTATCAAAAATCTGTACAGCCATAATTATCAAGTGGGGTAGCCATTTTGGTCTGAAGTAGCAGAACAAAGTTCGAGTCCACCTTTAAGACCAACAAAGTTTTATTCACGGGATAAGCTTTTGTGTGCAAGCACACTTCTTCAGATATGGTATCAGGTTAATAAATGTCTCCATTTATTACATCTTGTGGCAATTCTTATTAGGTTCAATGTGCAAAGAATCTAAAGGGTTATAACTTGCATGTAAATCAAATATTACTTTGGATATTTTACATTTAAAAGACATTTCACCAGGCTAGTATTAAAATATAATTATACTTGCATCAAATATGGAAACCTTTGGATATCTTTTGTGATTTTGAAAATGGAATGCTTTGCTTTTTGTGTGCCAAGATATGATAGCGAATAAAATCTTGCGTTTCTCAGAAGTTATGCTGCTTTGCTGGTAACAGTTTTATTGCCTATGTTCATAAAAAGAATTGCTGGGGAAATTCATTTGGAAAGCACGCTTCTCTTTATTTTGTCTCTTAATTTGACAAATTAAGCTCCAGGCTTGAGCTCTGAGACAATCAATTCTGATAGTTTACAGCAAAAGCTGCACAGTAGGAACTGACCGTTGCTTATTATCATGAACCTCTTCTTCCCCCTGCAGAGCAGTGTGGCAGTATTTTTTAAAAGTCTATTTTTAGCAGTAAGTTTTACTTAAATGTAAAAGCAGTACTGTAAGATGTAATGGGGAAATGTAGTCTGTCTTCCTGCAGCTTGGGTAATGGCAGCAAGAAAGCAGAATCAATCAGTGATGCAGTGGTGGACATTCTGGAAAGTAGGTCTATTGGAGACATCAGTAGAGGGAAGCTGAACTTAACTGTACAAGGGGGGAAAAGTTACTTCTTTTTAAACAAACTGGTATGCATTCTTTGATCATCTACGACTGACTCAGGAATTGAGGGATTTTTTATAGAAGATTGCTAGTGAACAATTTTGCAAGGGGTCAAATTGACTGAAGTGAAATTTCCTTAAGATGTATTTTTACTAGAATTACCTGGAGCATTGGGAATACTAACAGAAGTAGAAAGCCAGAATGTGTGTGTGTGTGTGGGGGGGGGGTCTGAACTAGTACTAGGTAGCCAAAGAATAGGATTAAGACTTAGCACAATGGTTTGGTGTTGAAGATAAGTGATGTGGTACTGGACTGAATATCCTGAAGCTGAGTTAGAGAATGAAAGGTCAAGGAAGGGGGTTGATGATGTACCAGGTCTCAAAAAACAATTAAATTTTGTGCTTTATCAGATAGCTAGATGTAGTTAAATATTGAAATCACTGCAGTGTTGTTAGGAAAATTAGACTATCATAAGTTTGTTCAGCAAATGTAAAAAAGGTTATTTTCATCTGTAATGTTGTTTTGTGTAAATTGTGTAACTGAATGATAGTAGTTCTGAAGACTGTGGCAATGAGACATTGCTTAGATTTCAACTATTTACTACATCAAGTGAAGTAATCTGTTACATCTCTTGTTAACTGAGCACATTTATACCACCGATGTGCCACATAGCTTAACAAGCAGGATACTCCTTCATCTCCAGTTTCTGCATCAGTCTAATATTTACCACAAGATTAATCATACTTTGTGGTCATAAATTAAATTCTGCTTAGAATTATTTATGAATCACTTCATAAAAATCAACTTTGTGTGTAAGGAAAACCTCTCACTCATTTTGAATTTCAATCTTCTTTATAGGTGGAAAGACATGACATGAATACTCTCAGCTTGCCTCTTAACATTCGGCGTGGGGGTTCAGACACAAACCTCAACTTTGACGTACCTGATGGTGTGTTTGAATTTCAAAAAGTAAAAATCAGTGCAGACAGCTTGAAACAAAAGATTCTGAAAGTTACAGAGCAGATCAAAATAGAACAGACAGCTCGGGATGGAAATGTGGCAGAATATTTAAAACTGGTGAACAGCGCAGACAAGCAGCAAGCTGGACGAATTAAACAAGTGTTTGAAAAGAAGAACCAAAAGTCTGCCCACTCCATTGCCCAACTGCAAAAGAAACTGGAACAATATCACAGAAAGCTCAAGGACATTGAACAAAATGGTTCCTCCAGAAGTACCAAGGATACTTCCAAAGACAGTCTAAAGGAAATTCAGCACTCTTTAAAGGATACTCATGGAAAATCTCGTACTACGGGTCAGAGCAATGAGAGCAAGACAGGTGTTCCAGGTGTCTCCTTAACACCCCCAGTGTTTGTATTCAGCAAATCAAGAGAGTTTGCAAACTTGATCCGGAATAAGTTTGGTAGTGCTGACAATATTGCTCACCTGAAGAGCAGCTTGGATGACTTCAGGCCTGAAACTAGTTCTAGGGCCTACGGTGGCAGTGCCACCATCATGGCCAAGCCAAAATATGCAAGTGATGATGAATGCTCAAGTGGAACATCTGGCTCTGCAGATAGTAATGGAAATCAGTCCTTTGGCCATGGTGGGACAAATGCTCTGGTCAGCCACGGAAAGCTTTCCATGATCTTGGAAGAGCTGCAAGAAATAAAGGATGCACAAGCCCAGTTACAAGAGGATATAGAGAATTTAAAAGTGCAGTTCAAAAGAGACTATGGCTTTATTTCTCAAACACTGCAGGAGGAAAGATACAGGTATTTATTTCTTGCTGAAATTACTTTGAACAAGTAAATGAGATAGGTGGTAATGTGGGTGACAGTAATACCACAAAGGAAAGGATAAACCAAAGTATGCTTGATCTCATCAGTCTAAATTTTTATACCCAGATTTTTCTGGGTATAAACACAAAGGCTTAATTGAACCTGTATGTAATTAGAGAAGCAAAGAATGGTCAGGGAATCTCGTACTATGGGCCAGAGCAATGAGAGCAAGACAGGTGTTCCAGGACAGCAAAGGAAAGAGGTCAAAACTAGTGACAAGTTCATGATGTACCATTTCATGTAGGTTGATGTGGTGAATCTTATCCTGTAGTCCTCTAATTGCAGTGTGATGATGTGCTATACTAGTGTGATTTTGGCTTTCGGACGAAGTTGATCAGTAGCTATCTGGAAATGACCCCCAGTAGACAGTTTTTGTCTAAGAAGACAAATTTTGCATGTTTCGCTTAAGATCTCGGGTCAATGAAGCTAATAAATGAAATGGATGGAAATGGAGTTTTTGTCTAAATGCAAATACTTGAAGCTGTTTCACACTTTTCCTTTTTTAAAAATAGGTTCACAGAAATAAATTACATGTACCCATAAACCTAGCAGTTCGGAAGCAAGAAATTGCAAGTAGATAAATAGGTACCACTTTGGTGGGAAGGTAACAGCGTTCCGTGTGCCTTGGCGTTTAGTCATGCCGACCACATGACCACGGAAACGTTGGCTCTTCGGCTTGGAAACGGAGATGAGCACCACAACCCTAGAGTCGGATTCGACTGGCTTTCGAGCAAGGGAAACCTTTACCTTTACCCATAAAATGGTAACAATGTCTAAGTAGCAAATACACATTTCTGCTTGCATGTTCAAGAGCAACTGGATATAGCTCCCTATCACCCTGTACTGGTAGAAACAGACATGCCAAATACTGCGTTACTGTGTGAAGCAGCCCCATGTGTTTACATGTTCCCAGAGTTTGGTGTGCAGTCAAGGAAATAAGTTAGAGTATATTTGGAGTATATACATTTTAATATGGTTTCACAAAGAAGCTTTTTTTAAAAAAAATCTTTTGTTGTTGTGAAGGTATGAACGATTAGAAGACCAACTGAATGATCTAACGGACCTCCATCAGCATGAAACAGCCAACTTGAAACAAGAGCTAGCTAGTATTGAAGAAAAGGTAGCATACCAGGCCTATGAGCGGTCACGAGATGTCCAGGTATAAAGTTTTAAAATTTAAATAATTGATCCCTCTTGTTATTGAAAGCGTAGTAATTAACTGTAGCCAAGGAACAGAGCATTAGAACTGGGAGCTGATAGAGTGAGTTTAAATTGAAGAGCAGCTATTGCCCTGGGGACCTACATTTGCCAGTCTAGCAAATCAGGAACCACCCAGGATGTTCTTTTTTCTTTATTTAAATTGTATGGCTTAAATTGGTTTATGTGTATTGGAAGTGTCTTTAAACTGCTTTGGGGTCCTTTTGGAGAGAAAAGTGGCATAGAAAACCCCAATTAAATTACGTTAAAGTGAAGGGGGAAAAGGTGTGAAAAGAAAGCCAAAGGCCTCATGTTTCCTATTCTCGCTTTTAAATTTTTATTTTGCCATCAAGTCAAGCTGATTTCCAGTGACCCCCTAGTGGGGCTTGGAGGCAAGGTACGTTCAGAGGTGGCTTGCCATCGCCTGCCTTTGCATCACAACCCTGGTATTCCCTGGAGGTCTCCCTTCCAAATAGCAGCGAGGGCTGGCCTTGCTTAGCTTCTGAGATCTGATGAGATCGGGCTTGCCTGGACTATCCAGGTCAGGGCATGTTTTCTATTCTCTTGAGCAGGGGTGTCAAACATACAGCCCGTGGGCCAGAACAGGCCCCTGCAGGGCTCATATCTGGCCCATAAGCAACTGACTCCCTCCTGTTTCCTGCATCACAGCTCGCTTTTGCCCAGCTCTTTCCAGCTTCCAGGGGAGAAAAAGAAAGCCAAGCCTCCCTTCCCTCAATTGGCTGAGTGCTCCCCCCTCCTCCTTTGGACAGGAAGTGAGGGGGAGTGAAAGAGCCAGAGAGGGCACAAAAGAGAGAGAGAGTACCATGGCACCTTTAAGACCAACAACATTTTATTCCAGGTATAAGCCTTTGTGCGCACACACACTTCTTCAGAGAGCGGGACGAAGGGAGGGAGAGGGAA